GGATAGACTGCATATCTAGATCCACTGAATGTGAGGCATACTCCCCCAGGCATACAATCGTAGTCAAACTGAACTTATAGAAGTTGAACTGAACTGAGGGGCAGGGAGGACCCCTAATTCAAAATGGGTGTTCTTTCATATATTCCTAAAGCAGAACTACACTTTATCTGAGCACCACTAAGGTACCTGGACCCTACAGAGGTTGCACAGGCAGTCCAACTCCTCCAGGATGGCACATCAATGTGTGCCATTGCCAGAAGGTTTGCTGTGTCTCCCAGTACAGTCTCAAGAGCATGGAGGAGATTCCAGGAGACAGGCAGTTCCTCTAGGAGAGCTGGACAGGGCCGTAGAAGGTCCTTAACCCATCAGCAGGACCGGTATCTGCTCCTTTGTGCAAGGAGGAACAGGGCGAGCGCTGCCAGAGCCCTACAAAATGACCTCCAGCAGACCACTGGTTTGAATGTCTCGCTGATGGGGGGGACTCTGATGAGGAGGACACTGATGAGGGGGCTCTGATGAGGACAATGAAGGGGAGGCTCTGATGAGAAGGACTCTGATGGGGGGCTCTGATGAGGAGGACACTGATGAGGGCGCTCTGATGAGAACAATGAATGGGAGGCTCTGATGAGAAGGACTCTGATGGGGGGCTCTAATGAGGACATTGATGAGGGGGCTCTAATGAGGACACTGATGAGGGGGGCTCTGATGAGGACAGTGAAAGGGAGTCACATGGGTGTCTGTGGTTGTAAATCTAATAAAAAAAACAAAATAACAAACATGTCATATTTACCAGTTCTGGCCAATGGTTTTGCGCAGAGCAATCCTGATCCTCCTCTGAACGTCACAGTATAATGTGTTTTTTTTTCCCCCCCCTAAAGATTGGAAATAATAACTGATATATTGTTTACATTCTTCTGTCAAACTATTTAATTGTAAATATTAAAAGGAAAACAAATGATAAAAATGTGTTTATAATTGTATTTTACAGAAATGGAGCACTTTGTGGACAGATATCGGACGGCACTGATGCACAGGATGGGTCCGATAGAACCAGTTCTGGATTATCTTCTGGAAGAGGGTCTGTTGACATCTGTAGATTATGACACGATACGGGTCCAACAAACCCAACAAAACAAGATGAAGATGCTGTACTCGTATATCGGACGGTGGGGTAATACTGACAAGGATATTTTATACAACATACTAAAAAGGGTGAATGGGCCATTAATCAGAGTCCTGGAAGAGTTTGACATGGATCCGTCACTAAAACCCAGGTGAGTCTCACCACTATTCCACCATTATATGTTGCGTCTTTCAGAGTTCTCTGAGCCTATATTTACCATGTGGACAACAACAACCAATCAGATTGAAAACAAAAGCCTAGGATTGAGTCTATTGGTTTTGTGATGCTGTTTCCTAAAATTATTATTACATTTTATTAGTTTGTACTACCTGACATACCACACGATGACTCTTAACCGCTTCCCCGTCTCCCTATAGCAGAAATACTGCTACAGGGCTGTAGGGCTGCGCAAAATCACGTACATATACGTGGTTTGCATTTTCGGGTAGGGGCGGCTGCAGAGGTTGATCACCGGGGTCCCAGCCAGAGATTGCCGAGAGACACTGACAGGAGAGAGACCTGTGTGTAAACAACACAGGTCTCTCTCCTGCCAGCAAGGACATGCTGCTTTGTATTTCTCTGCATGTCAGAGAAATACAAAGCAGCATGTCTCCGTAGTAAAACACAGCACATAATGTAAAACACACCTGGCACACATTTAACCCTTTGATTGCCCCAGATGTTAACCCCTTCCTGCCCAGTGCCATTGGTACAGTGCCAGTGCTTTTTATTAGCACTGATCACTGTATCAGTGTCATTGGAATGTTAGTGTCAGAATGCAGGCCACAGTCCCGCTATAAGTCGCCGATCGCCACTATTACTAGTATAAAAAAAAATAAATCCCAGTATCTATACTGTCACATAAAGAGTAGGAGGTGCCGATGCTTCTTCTGTATATCTGGTTCCTGTCCTGTCCCAGGCAGAGTGATGCCAGCTTCTCCTGCTCTCTCTCCACCGGCATTCTGTGGCTGCAGAAGAAAAATGTTCATTATACTATTCAAAATAAAAAAAATTCTAAATTCGGAACCATTTAATTTCATTGTGGCCCTCAACTGCTTACCAAGCCACTTAAGTGGCCCCCGCTCTTCAAAGGGTTGAGCACCCCTGCATCAACATTTTAGGAGGGTGATGCAGAACATGACCATTCCTCACCAGCCCTCACGTGACCCATCTCCCATGACCGTAGCATTATTTTAATTACTGGATTCAGTTTGTTTTATAGGGACTCTTCACAGGAAGCCACCACACTTCTACTGCCACAAGGCCTTGCTCTTGCATCTCCCCAGGTTAGGTCCCTAAGCCAACCCTGGGCTGCAGCAGGTTCCAACATGGAGACAAGCCACAAGGTGAGGGACATGAAGTGCATGTATATCAAGGTCCTACCTTTTCTCAGGGCTTGTGCTGCTCCATGTGCTGGCATCCATCTTAGGTCTGCAAAGCATTGTGGGATCCTTTATGCTTTCAGCCCTCTGCGGTTCCTCCCAGGAGGTGGCGGCTTATCACATTTAAGTCTGCTGTTTGCAGCTGCCCATTGCATTCGTCGTCTGTTCACTCTTTGCTCTCTGGATACCGACTGGCTTTGGCTAAGACTCCTCCTAGCTTCTGACCCGCTTCTGATCCCGGCTCTGGCGACCATGGCTTCTGATCCTGGCTCTGGCGACCATTCTTCCTGGCTTCTGAGCCCGGCTCTGGCGACCATCCTTCCTGGCTTCTGAGCCCAGGCTCTGGCGACCATTCTTCCTGGCTTCTGAGCCCGGCTCTGGCGACCATTCTTCCTGGCTGTTGACTCTTTGCGACTTCTCCTGGATCTGACTCGGCTTTGGCTAAGACCATTCTCCTGGCTTCTGAGCCCGGCTCTGGCGACCATTCTTCCTGGCTTCTGAGCCCGGCTCTGGCGACCATTCCTTCCTTGGCTTCTGATCCCGGCTCTGGTGACCATTCTTCCTGGCTTCTGAGCCCGGCTCTGGCGACCATTCTTCCTGGCTTCTGAGCCCGGCTCTGGCGACCATTCTTCCTGGCTTCTGAGCCCGGCTCTGGCGACCATTCTTCCTGGCTTCTGAGCCCGGCTCTGGCGACCATTCTTCCTGGCTTCTGAGCCCGGCTCTGGCGACCATTCTTCCTGGCTTCTGAGCCCGGCTCTGGCGACCATTCTTCCTGGCTTCTGAGCCCGGCTCTGGCGACCATTCTTCCTGGCTTCAGACCCCGGCTCTGGCGACCATTCTTCCTGGCTTCTGACCCCGGCTCTGGCGACCATTCTTCCTGGCTTCAGACCCCGGCTCTGGCGACCATTCTTCCTGGCTTCAGACCCCGGCTCTGGCGACCATTCTTCCTGGCTTCAGACCCCGGCTCTGGCGACCATTCTTCCTGGCTTCAGACCCCGGCTCTGGCGACCATTCTTCCTGGCTTCAGACCCCGGCTCTGGCGACCATTCTTCCTGGCTTCTGACCCCGGCTCTGGTGACCATTCTTCCTGGCTTCTGACCCCGGCTTTGGCTACAATTCCCGCTGGTTCTCGACCTGATTATCCTGGAAGACGACCTCGGCAGGAGAACTTCTGTCCTACCAAGTCATCCGCTGTTGCTGTCGGACTTGCATAGACTCTTGCCTTGTTTCTGTGTAAATAAACCTACCTTTAATTGCACCTCTTTGTGTGTCTGCCTCCTCGCTCCCTGACAATGTATCCTCTCACCTACCAGGGCTGCCGTCACCTGCCATAGTCTTCCATTGTCTAACTAGGCTGGCCGTTATTTCTTAAGAGTGTACAAAACTTGAACATTAAAATACGTGTTCTCTCTATTTCAATAGTGTTTTTGAAAATTTTTTTTTTCATACAATGTAAAACAATACGAAAAGCCTAGATCCCATAAACGGCCCAGTTTGAGGAATCCAACCATAAACAGTAGTGTGATACCACTGCGCAGGCGGTATAAAGTGGTTACAGAGAAATAAAGACAATAATCAGTCCTGAGACCAACCAGATGGAAATCATAAAATACCAACGAGAGTTACAATGATAAGCCACTTGCGAGAGATGCCATGGGGCAGAAGAGCCACCCTAAAAATGCCTTTCCTGGCACTAGGTGTATTCAGCTTTGTGTATTATGAATGGGAATTAAGATGGCCGCCGCGTTCCAAATACCGGAAAGAGACCTCAGCGGAAGTTGTCATAAGCCATTCGACGCGTTTTACGACCAATAGGTCGTCTTCAGGAAGTACAAACTTCCCAGGCTGACTTATCCCAGACTGCTACCCAGCCCCTGACTAGCAAAAATAACACCGTCTACCACTACAGGGCCACCGTGTTCCAAATACCGGAGAGACCTCAGCGGAAGTTGTGTCATAAGCCCTTCGACGCGTTTCGACCAATAGGTCGTCTTCAGGAAGTACAAACTTCCCAGGCTGACTTATCCCAGACTGCTACCCAGCCCCTGACTAGCAAAAATAACAACGTCTACCACTACAGGGCGTATATACCCCAAGAAAGATAGGATATGACATCCCTGCAGAGGAAGGAGTCACACATGACCCCACCCCTGCAGTAATCAGACAGAATATTTAAAGTGACACAATACCCCAAATTACAAGAACAGTGGCAATCACAAAAAAAAGACAACATAGAGTAGGCTCCAGTCTACACTCTTCCTTCTACACATTCCTATTGGCCAATGAGGCAGACAATCGTAATGGCAATACATGATATTAACAATGAGATTTTCTTTGATTTTGCAGTGGAGAAGAACTTTGTGGACAGACATCATCAAGATCTGATAAATTGGGTGTATGAATTGCAGCCCGTCCTCGACAGTCTTCTGAAACAAAATCTCCTGACAAAAGAAGAGTATGACACCATATGCAGCAAAACAACTCCTCAGGAGAAGATGAGTGCGCTGTACCAGTTAGTCGGAGGCTGGGGTGTTGGCGACAAGGAAAAATTATACGATTCGCTAGGAAAATATAACCGACTGCTCATTAGAGACCTGGAATATAGGGACATGAAGTGGCCTCTAACGTCCAGTAAGTCGGGCAATTCTTCAGTCTCCCTTTTTTTTAAGTCTCATGAACACTGTTGGATTGGATTGGTGATTCCTTTCCCAGTTGGACAGTGCGGCTGCCTTGAATCCTACAGACCTGTGCACTTCCTACTGACTTTTTTTTAATATAATATACAATTTTTTTAATATAATATACAATTTTTTAATATACAATTTTTGAAAATGATATATGGAAAAAAAAAAAAACAACCCAGCACCTGGAAATTAGAAAAAAGCAGCCGGCACTAAGATTTGTGATACCAAATCCTCAAAACTGTTGTACAACAGTGCAGCGCTAAAAAAAATAAAAGTGTGATATGAATGAGAAAAAAAAAAATCAAATATTAAGTATCCATAAAATAGGTGTTTCCAGCAAACTGACAGAGGAATACTCCAAACACCACCTTGTCACTTCAGTGAGAGCTGTGAGAATGTGGAATGGACTCCCCCAAGAGTTGGTTGTGGCCAGCTCAGTGGATTGCTGTAGGAAAGTCCTGGATTCTTTCTTGGATACACAGAATATAACTGGATATAACATTTATAGGGAAAGTTGATCCAGGGAATATTCGATTGCCTCTCGGGGGATCAGGAAGGAATTTTTTTCCCTGCAGGAGCAATTGGATCGTGCTTTGCTGGGTTTTTTCCTTCCTCTGGATCAACTGTGGGTGTAGGATTATAACTTTTTTTTTTTTATTGGTTGAACTAGATGAACTTTTGTCTTTTTTCAGCCAGACTAACTATGTAACTATGTGATCACCTCAAATGCACATGAAGTACCTTACCAGAAGGTATGTGACCATGTATGAGGATATGGTACTTTGCCTATATCCTATCTTTTTTCCAGACTCGTTATTTTTTTACATGGACACACACTGGGAACTATATAAGCTTTCTGATTTGTATTTTGGGCTTATTTTATGGATACTTAAAGCAGAACTCCGGGCAAAAACTTCCTTCAAAAAATTTCCTTTTTGCTGATTTCCTACCATCATTGAATGTCATCTATCTTCTGGTTCACTCAGTAGTTCTACTGAAATAGCCTATTAATTTTCAAATCAGACCGTTATTTCTCTTTGGTTTCCTGTTTGTAAGACTGGTGGCTGCTATGTCTCCTATTCCCCCCAGCCACTGGTCCTGGCACATCCCTTTCTCCAGGAAGCAGTGATGTCATTCAGCCCCATTTCCAGCGGTGGGCGGACCAGGACCTCAGACACATTCAACATGTACAAGCCTAGTGTACCCAGGGGTGTATTTACCACAAGGCAAACAAGGCACTTGCCTAGGGTGGCATTTTCATCCCCCAGAAGAAGGGATGACAGAAGGGACATGCGCACCATTTGAACCAGGTAGGATCCGAGAGAGGCTGCTTGATGGTGTTTATAGAGCCTGATGCCCGGAGCTGTGAAGATGAGTGTATCTCTATTGCCGGGGGGGGGGGGGGGGGTAGTGGAAGCCTCTCCACAGGGGTGTTGGTCAATGACAGGCTCTCTCTGCGGGAGGGGGAAGGGGGGATTGTGTTGGTCAGTGTCCATGGGGGCAGACGATTTTTGTGTTGCCTAGGGAAGCACAAAACCTGAATGTGCCACTGAGTGTACCCTCCCACATTCACTACAGTTCCCTGTGGGTGATGGGAACTGTAGTTTCCTTTTTATTGCAGAGAGAGAGGATATGATGTAATACCTGCTGTTACACTTCCTCCTTGGCAGTGCAGATGCTGCTATCTTTTAAATTACAGAGATGAGATCATGAAAATTCAATTATGGATTGAAGGATTAAGGATTTTCAAAACTCTATTCATTGTTTAGTGTTTTGTGTAGGGGGGGGGGGGGGGTGTAATAATGGGTGATTTTTTTTGCCTATTCTGGATTTCTTCTGCAATATTTGAATAATTATTTTGTTTCTCATTTATATCACGCATTTGTGTTTTTTAGCGCTTTACTGTTGTACAATAATATAATTTTTGATATTATTATTATTATACAGGATTTATATATATTATACAGGATTTATATATTATTATTATTATTATTATACAGGATTTATATATTTATTATACAGGATTTATATATTATTATTATACAGGATTTATATATTTATTATACAGGATTTATATATTATTATTATACAGGATTTATATATATTATACAGGATTTATATATTATTATTATACAGGATTTATATATTATTATTATTATACAGGATTTATATGTTATTATTATACAGGATTTATATATATTATACAGGATTTATATATTATTGTACAGGATTTATGTTATTATTATACAGGATTTATATGTTATTATTATACAGGATTTATATATATTATACAGGATTTATATATTATTGTACAGGATTTATGTTAATATTATACAGGATTTATATGTTGTTATTATACAGGATTTATATATATTATACAGGATTTATATATTATTATTATTATTATTATTATACAGGATTTATATATATTATTCAGGATTTATATATTATTATTATTATACAGGATTTATATATATTATTCAGGATTTATATATTATTATTATTATTATACAGGATTTATATATATATTTTTTTTTTTATTCCATAAAAGTTTATTTAGAAGTGACAACATGTTACAGGAAAATATAAAGAAATGCACACACAGCATCAATCAGGCCATAGACACAGCTTAAACCAAAATACAAGACGAAACAACATTATATATTATTATTATTATTTATACAGGATTTATATATATTATACAGGATTTATATATTATTATTATTATATACAGGATTTATATATATTTATTATTATTATTATACAGGATTTATATATTATTATTATACAGGATTTATATATTATTATTATTATCCAGGATTTATATATTATTATTATTATTATTATTATACAGGATTTATATATTATTATTATTATACAGGATTTATGGTGCCAACAGTTTGCTCAGCGCTTTACACAATAAAGGGAGACACAATACAGCAACAATACAATACAAAATGGTTAGGAGGGCCCTGATCCTCGGAGCTTACAATCTATATTATGCATATTATGTCCCCAACCCTTCCCGTTCTCTAACTGGCATCATTTTTAGAGTAACCTATTTGATCCATACAAATATTCATGATTATGAGTTTCTTTTTTTTTCTTTGCAGGATCTTCCTCTATATCTTTGGATCTGTCAAAATGGACTCCCAAAGACCTCCTACTCTATTCTCTAGAATATTTGTTGTTGGATGAATTCAGACGTTTTAAGAAGGAACTCTCCGGTTTTGTCTATGATGACAGAGCTGCTGTCCAATTGGGGCATACCGCAAACGCAGACAGTATGTATATAAGTGACAGACTTCTAGCTTATTATGGAGATTTCACAGCTCTGGATGTGACGGTTCAGGTGCTCAAATTGGTCGGTCTGATGAGATTTGCAGAGGAGCTGCAAGAAGACCTAAATCTATGCGGTGAGTTCTGTTCTAAAGCGAAGACTTTTTCATACTGTGTGAGGTTATCCTGAAATTCCAGCCAATTTACTTTTTAGTTTTGGACAGTCAGGTTTAGGGTTTGACACCGGTGAGTCAATAAAGTTTCCGGTAGGGTGCAGGGCTGCGGTCACAAACCATGAGGTGCCATACAGCCATTGTGACAGCCCCCCCCCCAAAAAAACCCCCCCACAGTTTATAACTTCAGTTATAAATGAACACAGCGAGCGTTCAGTACCAATCACTCAATGTGTTCATTCAGGAAACAAAGGGAATGTAAATGTGACATACTTACCGAACCCTTCCCCCACTCTACATCCTCAAGGATCTTATTGTGAGCTTTCAGCTGCCAGTTGAAAAAAGAGGAGGGAAGCCGGAAGTACTGCAGGGGGTGGGGGCACACAGGGGGGTCTGGGCAGCAGGGGGAAATGTATGGTGCACAGGGAGGGTGATGGTGGGGTGGGGCAATTACTGGAACCGATCCCCTGTATGGCTCTCTCTCTGCAGCAGCTGAAAGCCCAGTGGGAGGGAGAGGAGAAGATGGTTTTCAGCTGCTGCAGAGAGATCCATACAGGGGATCGGTTCCAGTAATTGCTCCCCGCTGTGCCGATCACCCTCCCTGCCCACATCCGATTCACCCTGCTGGTCGGGGCCCCGTACAGGACGACTGGTGGTACCCCTTGTCCATGGTAAGGTGCATGATATGAATGTTGTGCCCTGGCCGTTTTTGCAGCTCTTTCATTTAAGAACCCTGCAAACCAGTTATTATTGTATGCGGCAAGATACTTATTTGATTAGTTCTAGAACTTACAAGAATGTATTGAGCTGGATGACGTCCCCGATTTTAATAAAAGGTTGGGCTGAATCAGGTGTCAGCATCCTTCTCATAGGCAGGCCAGAGTGCCAAGGAGCCTGTCCTGCCTTTAAAGCTAATGGAGTAGATTGACAACTAAAGCAAAATAAAAGGTAAACTTTTTTTTCCCAGACTAACAAGTCACACTATTGATATTAAACTGAGTGATGGATATTGGGTAGATAGGGGCATTTTTACGTCTGGAGGAAAAGAGATTTAACCTCCAAATACAGAAAGGCTTATTCACGGTAAAAGCTGTGAAAAAAATTTAAATAGAATTCCTCAAGAACTAGTTCTGGCCAGTTCAGTAGATTGTTTTAAAAAATAGCTGAATGCTTTCTTATATGTAGATGTAACGCCCTCTAGGTTAGTTAGGTAGGATTTTTTTGTTAGGTAAAGGCTGAGTGGCAGCCTGGGGTGAGTCAGCCTAGGAGTGAGGTAGTATGTTTACTTCAGGACAGGCTGGGAGGTTCTACAGTTCAGGGCTTCTGGAGCCATCCCACCTTTCTAGAAACGTGAGAACGTTCTGGAGCAAGGGTGGAGGAGGGGAGGAGGCCCAGATCTGCATGTTTGAGGTACCTTTGCTGACCTCATAGCAGGAGGCTGGGCATGGTGACCAAGGCAGCCCTTCAATATGACAGAGCCTGGGCAACAAGGGCAGTGTCAGGTGGAAGATGGATTGAAGAAAGCTGGAGTGTGGAGCATGGGTGGGGGCCCCAGGGAGGGGAGGCTGCCTACAGGAAGAATGCTGGAGAGGAAGATCTCTTCTGCCCTATTGTATCCTGGGGAGGACAGCCTGTGCAGCAGGGAAAGAGCCAGTCCAGTGTACTACAGGCAGCCACCCTCCCACCAAGCAAACAGGAGAAGACAGTATGAATACTCCTCCACCCCCTGGGCCAGATAAGGGGAGAAGGCAGTCAAGTGTAAGACCCAACTAGCTTCCGGGACTGTTTAATTGACAGCTCTTGGGCCCCCTTGCAAAGGGTTATCCTCGGTGCATGTAGGTGAAGAGGAGGAATCATCCAGGGTCTGAGAAGGTACACTGAAGGGGCTTTAGTGCTCCTTAAAAAGAGACAGTTGCTATTCCACATTTTTTTTTACATAGTTGCTAAGGAGTTATCCTCAGGTTCTACAGTTCCTCGGGCATCCCATATACCCCTAGATCCCATCCAAGTTCAACCCCTTAAAAAACCCTAAAACCAAGCTCAAAGACTGTTTACTGCTTCAGGGTGCAAATGTGGAAAAATGTGTGTTGCCTGGCTACGCAGAGCCTAGGGGGACCAAAAACAAATCCAGCGGCCCTTATGCGGGAAGTGCTATATACAAAATATAACTGGATATTTATAGGTAATAATACCGGGGTAGTTGATTCAGGAAATAATTAATTGCCTTTTTCTTGATCAGCAAGAAATATTTTACCCCTGCTGGAACAAGTTGGGTCATGCTTTATATTGGGTTTTTTATTACCTTCCTCTGGGTCACGTGTGGGTATAGCATTCTGTGTATGGAGATTTTCTATTGATTTATTTTGTTTATTTTTTTTCTGTTGGCTGAACTAGATGAACTTCTGTCCTTTTTTAGCCTATGTAACTATTATTTACTTGTATACAACATCAAACCGGGGTGGCAGGAGGGGCATGTGCCCCGCGCACCGCTTTAAAAAGGGCCCCACCGGCTGAACCCCACAGCTGTCAGCTGCATATATACTATGTAACCACAGTGCTACTGAAGCACCTACAGGTTAATTGATAGCTGTAATTTGGAGAGTAGGGGAAATCTCATATGATCTTCTCCCCCTGCCACTCCTCTGGTGCCTGATCTACTCCACATCACAAGTGCTAGAGCTGCAGCAAAGTTTCATATACTTGTGATGTTGAGGAGATCAGGACCTGGGGGGCAGCAGGGGAAGAAGATCGAATGAGACATCGTCCTTTCCAGGAAACAGCTGTGGGGTTCAGCCGGTTGGGCCCTTTTCAAAGTGGTGCACGGGGCACATGCCCCTCCTGCCACCCCGGTTTGATGTTGTATACAAGTAAATAAGTAGCGCCCGCTAATTACATAGTATAGATGCAGCCAGCAGCTGTGAGGTTTGGCTACCACTGGGCTCCACCTCCAGCAGGCGTGGTGTTAACTGTGATGTAACCGAACTACAAAAAAAAAATCTGTATAGAGAGTCACAACCCCCCCATGATTAAGCTCCAAGGGGCGGAGTGAAAATGCATTGAGGCGTGGCCTGGCATGAGTCCAGGCTGAGGCTGCCATTCATCTCCCTTCATGCACATAGGTCTGCCTTTGATGTGCGGCTTATGGATCTTTCCTTCTGACATGGCTGCAGCTTGGAGCTAGGACGAGCTCCCTATCCCTGCCAACACTCACAGCAGTCTCGTTTGGACTTCACCTCCCTTCCTGAGCGGCACCTAATCTTTTCCTTATAATTTTGTCAGTTATACAAATATTTGTCAATTTCTTTTTTAACCCCCCTGGCGGTATTCCCGAGTGTAGCTCGGGGTAAAGTTTCAGCACCACAAGCAGTAACCCCCCCCTGAGCTACACTCAGGAATACACTGCAGCGTTGCTCCGGGATCCCTTCTGCACTTACCTTGTCCTGCGCTCCCGCGATGTCCCTCCTGCAGTGTCCCCTGTAATGTCCTCCGGTGTCTTCCATGTTCTGTTCCCTGCGACGTCGGGACGTACGGGGGACGGAACTGGCGGGAAATTTGAAAATTGTAAAAGTGACATTCACTAAATACACTAAAATCACATAGTATAACATTCCTGTATCAAACCATTTCACATACATTTTGTCCCGAGTGCTTTGTCCGGTGCCCTGCCTGTATTTTTACTGTTCTTTCTGCCTGGAAACTGAGAAACGTCCATGGCATCCAAAAAGCGTCCCTTTAGGTCAGACGCGGTTTTAGACCGGCTAGAGAACAGCGATAGTAAATCAGAACCACTTGTAGAATTGAGTGATAATGATTCGTGGGGGAAATTCCTCATCAGACACTGAAAACGATTTTGTGACTTTGCTCAGTGATGTGCGAACTTGGCGCTATATTTCACATTTCAGTGTTTTTGGTTTGATTATATTATTGAATTAAATGTATTATTATTATTTTTATGATTATTAATTTTAATTTATGATTTTGTGTTTCAAATTTTATCATACCCGGGATGTTTACTAGACTCTTGTTCGGACAGATTTCAGTGAGTTATTCCTAAGAATTACAGGCCTACAATAAAAAAAAACAACACATTAACATGCAAAAAAAAAATGTACCGCTTTGAGCACAGAAATACTGACATAATCAGACTGCTAGGGAGGTTAAAGTGCAGTCCAATCACATCCAACATGTTGAAAATGATTTTCTTTTCTTTTTTGTGATCCATTAAAAAAGGTTGGAGGACGCCTGAAGTCATTTTAGTGTATATTCTAGATAAACTCGAACAACATCATTTCATGCAATTTAAAAATAATCTGCTTAATGAAGAAGACAAACGTCCCTTTCCACCAAGACTAAAAAAATCTGCGGACAGGATCACCACATCGGACCTTCTCTTACTGCTTTATGGAGAACAAGAGGCTCTGAGTGTGACGGCCAAAATACTGCAGAAAATCCATGTGACACAATTGGCAAGAGATTTGGAGAATTGGATCTCATTGTGTGGTAAATAGATTTCTTTTCAACAAGGGCAGCAACTGTTGATAATGTGCAGCAATTTCAAAGAGATGTAGCAAATGGTTTTCTACTAATTGGTTACATAAAATATTAGTCCAAATGTACCCTATGACACTGATGAGGTTGAGGCACCCCAAAAAACTGAATCAGAAAACAGAGTGCATCATACATAATAGGGGGAGTACAACTGGGGGGGTCAATTATGGAGAAGGATCTGGGGGTTCTGGTAGATCACAAGCTTAGTAATGGCAAAATGCTCTTTTGTATTAGGAGAGGTATAGACTCCAGAAAGAGAGAGATATCACCCCCCCCCCCAGTACAGTCATTGGTAAGACCTCATCTGGAATATGCAGTTCAGTTTTGGGCTCCAATTCACAAAAAGAACATTGGTGAACTGGAGAAAGTACAGAGAAGGGCAACTAAACTGATACGAGGCATGGAGGAGATCAGCTATGAGGAAAGATTAGAGGAACTGAATTTTTTCTCAAGGAGATTAAGGGGAGAATATGATCTCCATGTATAATACATAAGGGGGGATATGATCACCATGTATAATACATAAGGGGGGATAGGATCTCCATGTATAATACATAAGGGGGGATAGGATCTCCATGTATAATACATAAGGGGGGATATGATCTCCATGTATAATACATAAGGGGAGATATGATCTCCATGTATAATACATAAGGGGGGATATGATCTCCATGTATAATACATAAGGGGGGATATGATCTCCATGTATAATACATAAGGGGGGATATGATCTCCATGTATAATACATAAGGGGGGATATGATCTCCATGTATAATACATAAGGGGGGATATGATCTCCATGTATAATACATAAGGGGGGATATGATCTCCATGTATAATACATAAGGGGGGATAGGATCTCCATGTATAATACATAAGGGGGGATATGATCTCCATGTATAATACATAAGGGGAGATATGATCTCCATGTATAATACATAAGGGGGGATATGATCTCCATGTATAATACATAAGGGGGGATATGATCTCCATGTATAATACATAAGGGGGGATATGATCTCCATGTATAATACATAAGGGGGGATATGATCTCCATGTATAATACATAAGGGGGATATGATCTCCATGTATAATACATAAGGGGGGATATGATCTCCATGTATAATACATAAGGGGGATATGATCTCCATGTATAATACATAAGGGGGGATATGATCACCATGTATAATACATAAGGGGGGGATATGGTCTCCATGTATAATACATAAGGGGGGATATGATCTCCATGTATAATACATAAGGGGGGATATGATCTCCATGTATAATACATAAGGGGGATATGATCTCCATGTATAATACATAAGGGGGGATATGATCACCATGTATAATACATAAGGGGGGATATGATCTCCATGTATAATACATAAGGGGGGATATGATCACCATGTATAATACATAAGGGGGGATGTGATCACCATGTATAATACATAAGGGGGGATGTGATCTCCATGTATAATATATAAGGGGGGATGTGATCTCCATGTATAATACATAAGGGGGGATATGATCTCCATGTATAATACGTAAGGGGGGATATGATCTCCATGTATAAATACATCAGTGGTTCATATAGTGAACTCGGTGTAGTTATTCCCCCTGAGGTCATCACAGAGGACAAGGGGGCGATCTTTACGTCTGGAGGAAAAGAGATTTAATCTCCAAACACGGAAAGGTTTCTTCACAGTGAGAGCTGTGAGAATGTGGAATAGACTCCCTCAAGAGTTGGTTGTGGCCAGCTCAGTGGATTGCTGTAGGAAAGTCCTGGATTCTTTCTTGGATACACAGAATATAACTGGATATAACATTTATAGGGAAAGTTTATCCGGGGAATATCAGATTGCCTCTCGGGGGATCAGGAAGGAATTTTTTTCCTCTGCAGGAACAGATTGGATCGTGCTTTGCTAAGTTTTTTTGCTTTCCTCTGGATCAACTGTGGGTGTAGGATTATAACTTTTTTTTTTTAATGGTGGAACTGGATGGACTTTTGTCTTTTTTCAGCCAGACTAACTATGTAAGAGTGTCACTCTTATCCTGTTAAAGTTCACGAATCCACAACACCAGTTAAGTTCAAAATCTTTGTCTGTAGGTTCAGCAAGGAATGGCGCTTTTCATACACTCAGCCTACAGACATCCTGAATTCCATTACAACAGAGAAGCCATTTTAAATTGAATGAACATTTTACATCTTACTGGCTGCCTGTGTCTTCTTTCCCATGCAGCAGGCTGTGTCTGTCTGGGCAGAGTCCCCCTCCCTTTTATTATCAGCACAGGGAAAGAGGCAGAGATCAGCAAAAAGTGTGTGAAACCAGGTTAACTTTTTTCCCTCCCAGCTGGGGCAGCAGCTATCTCACTAACAAGTCAACTGTCAGCTTTTTGATTAAAGCGATGGGGCATTTGTAAAACCACTCAATCACTTTTGCTGACCCTCAGAAGTGTGCCCCCATGCTACCCCCTCACCATGCTTTCCAGGCTCTGCTGTCCTACCTCTGGGCCCAGGACCTGCATGGTGGATATCGCCAGGTGGTTGGGAGTGAGAGACCATATACAGTTCGGTCCATATATATTTGGACACAGGCACATTTTTAGCTTTTTCAGGTGTTTACCAAAACATATTCAAGCTCTAGTTATATAATGGATATGGACTGAAAGTGCACACACTCAGGTTTAATTTGAGGGTATGTACATCCAAATTGGAGGAAGGGTTTAGGAATTACAGCTCTTAAGAGTAGCCATCCCCCCTTTTTAAAAGGGATCAAAAGTAACTGGACAATTGAAACAAACGCTGTTTCATGGCCAGGTGTGGGCTACTTCTTCATTATTTCTTCATCAATTAGGCACATACAAGGTCTGGAGTTAATTCTAAGTGTGGTATTTGCATTTGGAATCTATTGTTGCCACCATGCCTCCATAAGTGCCACCTGAGGCAGCCACCTTAATTGGCCCCATTGGTGGCACAGCCATGACTGTACCATTGACATTACCCTTGTGACAAGTTGGGGTTATGTAGCTCATTGGTAGGATCAAAAAGTGAGTTCAGTTCACTCCAGAGGTAGTTTTCAGGGCTTTTTCTGCCTACTTTTATTTAAATAAAGCAAAAGTTTACACATGAATATCTTCCCACGCAGAGGTTTCTACCATCAATACGAAACAACAGAAACTGAATGGTTCTCTATCAGCAGTGGGGACCCAGCTTTTACTCACAGCCAGGATTAAGAGGCAGCAGCCATGCAAAGGTGTTGGCTGCTGGCTCAAAAAAGGGCAGAACTTGTTTGAACCTGTCCAGGGCACAGAGCTTCATGCCAGGGAACATTAATATATAGATTATTGATGCAAAGAGATAATGCGGTCAAGGTGACTGAATGCTATGATCTGAATTGGTATTTTCTGTATGTGTCCCCCAGGCAGCAAGAAACATGCAAGTTTCCCTCAAGGTGAGGCCGGAACCTCCAAACTAACTGAGGAGAGTTCTTCTCCAAAGCCAGGTGAGTTCACAATTTCCAAAATCAATAAAGAGAATCTGTCACGAGGCAAAATGCATGTGTGGGAAGATTCTGAAACCGTCATTCCCCAATCCATATGACTCTGATATGCTTTGGGGCAGTAAAGCTAAACCTGCTCTTTAAGTCACCGCCCTGGAATTAGTATGCATGCCTTCATCAGAGCCTTCATTCATACTTTTCTCAATTTGGACTGACTATATGATTTAAAAAATGCAGAAACAGCAGAGAAAATCTCATAATCGATCATTAGCACTGTAGTGGCCAAATTTCAAGCGCAATTGGTCTAAATTTGGTTAGGCTGTACCCAGTTATTTGGGTTTCCACTGCAGTTAGTTGGGTTTCCACTGGGTTCAGCATATTGTTTAATTAAGCCTGGTTCTAGAGGTGTCCTCCAGTCCTATGGAGCAAGAAGAAAAATTGTTGTGAGCAATGAATGTTTATTTCACCCTCTAACCTCTTAGGTGAGCAGGACTCTGGGCAGATTGCAAGCTACTTTGAACCATTTCAAAGTGAGTCTGTCCCCAGAAAAGTGGGGACAAGCTGAGTTCACCCTCATTAACTTACGAGGGAGAGAGGCCATGCTTCTAGATCTTTAACTCTTTGTTAGCAAAGACTGTGTTCAAATCTAGATCACATCTGATAATGAGATCTGCTGGCACAGTACAAGCAGGGTTAAATATGATAATTATTAAAGCTCCAACTCCCTCCTTAACACTGCATAGTAGGAGAAAACATCAGTTTTGAAGTTTTCAAAAAGAGCAAGTAAAATGTAAGCAGCAATTTTAAAATATTCTGTTTAGGTTGTGCGATGTCAACCAAAATATAAAGTAGGTGTGATCCCAATCTGCAAATGAGGAATTACATATTAAACTTTCTTCTACAGATGACAAGGTTAGGAGCCCTTTGGGATTGGTATTAATTTGGAAGGGGACCCCATGCCAACCAATGAAGACAAATGGTGTGGGTTCCCCCCCAAAATCCATACCGGACACTCATCTGAGCACACAGCCAGGAAAGAGGGAACGAGCGAGCCCCCCCCCGAAACTATACCAGGCCACATGACATGACAGGGCACTTTGCCAGGGGGATCCCCCAGCAGTGCACATGTTGATGAGGACATGGGATTCTTGCCCACAACCCTAGCAGGGTTCTTTAGTAAACAAAAAAAAAAACTTGCCCCCTCACAAAGAAAAAAAAAAAATGCAGCTCACCGAATACATCCACTTCCATAGCTTGTCACCTGCCAAATTACCTCCGCAGGTGACACCGCCCCCATGACATAACTCATAAGCCCCACCCTGTGATGCCATGAGGGTGGAATCTCATCGCCAGGAGGCTCCACCCCTATGATGACACATGCTGACCCCTGAAACCCTATGACATCATGGGGTGGGATTTCAGGGGCCCCTTGTTAAAGTGGGATTCCAGATTCTGATAATCTACCCCCTGCACCCCCACAAGCATCGGGCCAGGGTTGTGGGGAAGAGTGCCCCCCCATGTTGAGGGCATGTGGTCTGGTATGGTTGTGGGGGGCAGGAACTCATTTGTTCCTCCCCTTTTCCCGATGTGCTGAGTTGCATGTTCAGATAAGGGTCTAGTATGGATTGGGGGGGCACACCTTTTTTTTGTAATTTTTTGGTATGGGGTTCTCTTCATAATCTATACCAGACCCAAATGGCCTGGTATTGGTTAGGGGGACCCCAAGCTTTTTTTTTTTTTTTTGTTAATGCCGACTCTTTTGTGGACTCATGGTTGTTAGGAAGCTGGTGGGTGCCGACTCCTAACAACCAAATACCAGTAAACTTTGGTAATAAAAACAAGAGGGGACAAAAACACACTGGGACACATCAAAAACGCATGCACTCGGAGTGTTTTTCCCTTATAAAATATATACTGTATATCACCTTCAACATTGCACTATATATTTTTCAAATGTAATTTACTATTTTGTCCTTTTTTACTATTTTATCCTTTTTTACGGTAATTCTGCAGGCAGTAGCAAAGATTTCGATTTCCATGTGGACAAAAAGTCTGACACTGACCAAAGTTCAGCAACCCAGACAGGTAAAGATGTTAAACCCCTTTGACTTCTCCTTCCTTGGTTCATACTATCCTTCAAGGTGTTCCTCAGGTTGTTCCCCCTTCTAGACCACTGTTGATGCCACGCAACCTCAATTTGGTTCTTTTCTACCCTTCAGAAACTGCCTTTTAAATCTCTTTGGGACATTCCCTTATTGACTCTTCCTCAGAAAGTGGTTGTCCTCAATTTTTCTTTTTTGACAAAGGCTGAGTTGGCTTTTCCTTTGAATGAGGAGATTGTTTTGCCATCCTTATGTTCTAGTCCTGCCCATCCTAAAAGAAGTGATTCTTCATATGTTGGATGCGGTTCAAGCTGTAAGAGTATACTTGAATTCTATCACCCCTTTCCAGAAGATCCATTCCTTATTCATTGTTCCACATGGTCCTAGGAAGGGACATGCGGCCTTACCATCTACTATCTTTTGTTTGATCTGTCAGAAGATAGTTCAAGCCTACTTTTTCAGGCTGGGAACCTCCGCATTTCCTGTTCATTGTACTAGTACTCTGTGCATGTCCTAGGCCAGGGGTGGGCAAACTTTTTGACTTGAGGGCCGCAATGGGTTCATATATTGGACCCGGGGGCCGGACTAGCTGCTGGCCGGCCCAGCCACTACCATGCCATCCATAGTAAGTATAGTAATATTCCCCCATAGTAAGCATAGTAATTAATCCCCCATATAGTAATTCATCCCCCATAGTAATTCATCCCCCATATAGTAATTCATCCCCCATATAGTAATTCATCCCCCATAGTAATTCATCCCCCATATAGTAATTCATCCCCCATATAGTAATTCATCCCCCCATAGTAATTAATCCCCCATATAGTAATTCATCCCCCCTATAGTAATTCATCCCCCCTATAGTAATTCATTCACCCCTATAGTAATTCATCCCCCCTATAGTAATTCATTCCCCATATTGTGTCAATTCACTTACCTTTGCTCCGCGCGTTCCTCTCGCCGTGTTCCCGCGCCGTTCTGGTCTTCAGGGCGGACTGTGAGAGGAGAGGAGTTCGTCACGCTGCCCCGCCTACATCCTGACAGCCAATGTTTGCCACGCTCCGCGGGCCGGATTAAAAGGTCCGCCGGGCCGTAGTTTGCCCGTTGCTGTCCTAGGCCTTTCATCATCATGTTAGGTCAGGGTTTTTCAAAATGACACATTGTGCTCTTTCAGGACTGAAAACTCATAACATGATATCTTTACCTTCCTTCCAGGAGCTGAAACTCTGGTGTCTTTTCAGGAAGAGAATGCACAGTCTACATGGTAAGATTCAATAAGTCTGTGGTTGATGTCATACATTTATGATTTTTCTTATAACCTTTAGAAACCTGGACAATTAAAACTGATCATATGATGCAAAAAACAAAAGCAGAGGTGAACTGTAGAAAAAACTTCATATCAAAACAGTCAGAAGATCCAGAAATCTGGTTTACATGCTGTTTCGTGAAAATAGCGTGATGATGGCATAGCTTCATCTCTAGCAGCTGCCTTTTGTTTTTAAGCTAGTATGCCCAAAGGTCCTTGGATTTCCCCAGGACTTGAGCAATATAGTCACAGTTCGTTCATAATCTGAGGCTATTTTCTGGGCTGGGGTGTTCCAAGGGGTAAACTGGTATGCAGGTAGTAGTTAGCGGTGGCAGCATTTAGAGGAACAGTCCGTATCAGAGTAAGTGTCGAAGTCCGTTATCAATAGAAAGGGGTCAGTACCAAAGCAAGACGAGATAAGACCAAGTGTGAGCTAGGAAACAGATACTATCACAAGCTCTGGGCCACAGCCAGTCAGGCACAAGGAGGCAGCAAACTAACTGCTGCCTAGTAACTGGGATGCTGCCTGCGGAATCGCACCACTGTTGCCCAATCACAGTGCAGGGAGGGGGGGGTGTCAGTCTGGGAAGAGAGAGCGGCAACTCAGGCTCCTTGTGGTGGTTCCAAAGGAGTTAGGAATCCAGCTTTCCTTACATTACCCTTCTTCCTGAGGAGTGGCCCCTGGCCCACAGGAGCATGCCTTCGGGGATGTACATCATGGAAACCCCTTAACACATGAGCAGCATAAACAGAGGAAGCAGATACCTAACAATGGTCTTCAGGGCGGAAAGCCTTCCAGTGGATGAGGTATTGAAGAGAATGCTGAATCCTTCTGAAGTCTACCTTTTACTCCTCTTGACCATTGCCAAGTACCCTAATTTTAGAAAGGATGATGGTGTTCGAGTTGACTCTTTTTCAGTAAAGAATCAAGATAGGAGTTGGGTACCCAAAAGTTGGGAATTTAAACATTTGATTAACTTGATATATTATAGGTTTTTGTAATCCTTACAGATAGTAAATGTATGTTGGGTCCCTTCCAGCCAATGTCACCTTGCCTCTATTGTCCGTTTCATAGCCAGCAACACCCAGTTGCATTCTGAGTGAGAAATCTTGTAAGAAAAGAATGTGCAAGGATGCCAGTTATTGTTACTAGTACATTGTGACAACGCAGCTCCTGCCCCAATTTTTGAGGCACTGGCCTCTACCAGAAAGGCTAAGGCAGTGTCAGGATGTCTTGGGGTGGAAGTGGAAGTAAATGCTTTTTTTGCAAGGTCTCAAAAGCTTAGATGACGTCTTATTGTCATTACTTTGGATTGGCAACTTTCTTGATGAGATCAGTGATGGGTGCTATGTGGATGAAGAAGCCTTGGGGAAACGTTCTATAAAAATTGAATTCTAAGAAGCATTGGATCCTTAGGCAGAAGCCACTGAAAAATAGCCTGGACCTTGGCAGGAAACATGGCCAATAAATGTAAATTTCTAAAATGATGTATTCCGGGAACAGAACTTCACTTGCAGGAAAGATGCACTTCTCTAATTTAGCATAGAGAGAGTGCTCTTGGAGTTTGCCAAGATTGCTTTGACATGATGTTGGTGTTCAGCCATGTATTGGAAGTACTGTAAATCACAATGTCATCCCGATATATAAGAAGGAACGTGCCAAAGTAGTCATGGAAGATGTTGTTTATAAACTCCTGGAAAATTGCTGGTGCATTTTGTAAATCTAAGGGCTTTGCCAAATAGTCATAAGGCCAATCTATGGTGTTGAAAGCTCTCCTCCAATTGTCTCCATTACATTTCCATAATAAAGTGATTGTTGAACAGGGACACTCACTGAAGCTGAAATATACTAAGCTTTAACGAAGAGGTGATGGGGAATTATTCTGGATTCACAAATTAAATACATTGCATCCACTTGGCTTGAATGGTGATTTTGATCTAAATTTATTTTTATACCAGGATTGATACGTGAATGTATGTATGTTTGTTTTATGGGTTTCTGTTTATTTTTTGGGTGCTTTCAAAGTAAATGGTATACCTCTCTCCTTTTGGAAGATATATATATATATATATATATATATATCAGGGCTCATAATCTCAAGTCCTGAGCTACTATCCAGGGCTTAAGAGTTACTCGTCACTAGTTACCCTGCCCCACCCCTAATTCCGCCCCCAAACATGCTCTCATAAATGAACTCATGAAAAGACACTGTTAAATGTTTTTCACAGAATAAAGTTAAACGAATAAATAAAAATTAATACCCATCAGTTGTCATTTACATCAGGTGTCCCATCAGATTCCCTCATTACATTAGGTGTCTCCATCACAGTCCTCCTTACATCAGATATCCCCGCATGGGACCAGCTATATAACTACCTGAAATAAATAAACTACTACCACAGAAAACTAAACTCTTTTGGCTGCACTCATGAAAGCTATTGCTGGAGGACAAAATAGGAAAGAGGTGGAGGGCAGGGAGAGAGATCAGGAGGGAAGGAGAATGGATGGAGGAAGGAAGAAAGGGAAGGAGGGAATGAAGGAAGGAGGGGAGGAAATGCCTGGAGGACAAAAGGAAGGAAGCTGCTTCTCCTCCTCTCTCTTCTGTAGCTTTCAGCTGCTTCATTGAAAGCCATACAGGGAGATGAGTGCTTTTAACTGTCCCCACCGCTGCACCGATTATCCCTGACTTTCAATTTCACCTGCTGCAGTCTGGACACGCTCGCCCCCACCATATTTCTACTCGCCAAATGCAAGCAGGCGAGTGGAAATTTTGAGCCCTGTATGTGTATATGTGTGTGTGTGTGTATGTATATATATATGTATATATGTATAGTATGTGTATATATGTATATATATATATATATATATATATATATATATATATATATATATATATCATCAGTTACGTGTGATTGCTATGCATTGCTTAACAGACAAAGCTTCTAAATTTACAGTTAGGAGGTGGGACAGGGGGTTGAGCTCCATCTTGCTTTTGGGCACAGCAATGGCAACAAACCTTATACATGTATGTGGCATCACTAGCTGTATATATTTTATACCTGCTAGCAGATTTATTTATTTATTGAGTGACAGAGTCACTTTAAATATCATTATTACAATTTTGTATGAGTCTTAGCACATCCTCCAATAATTTATATTAGTGAGTCCAACATCAGACTGCCCTGAAATACATTAACAAGCCAACAGTTTGTGGACACTTGACAATCACTCGTATACACACTTGTTAGACATTACATCCCGAAAACATTGGCAATATTATGGGATTGCCCCTCTTCATAGTTATAACAGCCTCCACTTCTCTGGAAAGGCTTTCCATAGATTTTGGAGGGTGTCTGTGGGAATTTGTGCCCAATTGTGAGGTCAGGTACTGATGTTGGAAGAGAGGACCTGGGTTACAATTGCTTTTCCAAATTATCCCAAAGGTGTTCAGTAGAGTTGAGGTCAAGGATCTGTGCACACCACTCTAGTTCCTGCACCCCAAACAGGCGAAGCCACATCTTTATGGACTTGGCTTTGTATACAGGAACACTGTCATGCTGGAATAAAAAAAGGTCCTTCCACAAACTGTTACCATAACATTGGAAGTATATCATTGTCCACAATGTATGTGTATGCTGTAGCAGTAATGCTACCCTTCAATAGAAACACCTAAATGCAATCATTTGGAGGGGGTCCACATGCTTTTGGTCATGTAGAGTTAAGAGATTGTATAATATATACAGTATATATAGTAGTAATCTAAATTACAATTTTTTTTTTAAGGAAACTATCTGATCTGAGACGTGAAATGGAGTGCCCGGTTTGCATTGACATTTTAAGTGACCCTACAACCCTGATGTGTGGACACAATTTCTGCATGAAATGTATTGAGACAGCCTTGGACAACCAGAATAAAAACAACTTTTTCTGCCCTGTGTGCAAGCAAATATATATAAGTAGACCAAAACTGAAAATAAACTATTCCCTACGAAAGGTGGCAAGATATTTTAAGTCAAGATTTTCAAAGTTGAAGACTGGAGAGCTGAACTGTGCATACTGTATTGAGGACCCAGGAGTTGCTGTTAAATCATGTCTGCTGTGTGAAGCATCCTTGTGTGATGAACATCTAAATGTACACAGCAAGAAGGAGGAACACATCCTAATAGAACCCACCACTTCCTTCAAGGAGAGAAAATGCTCCATTCATAATAAAGTCCTTGAACATTACTGCGCTGATGAAGATGTCTATGTCTGCTCCTTATGCTGCATATATGGAGATCACAAAGGCCACCAGGTGGAAATGGTAACAGAAGCAGCTGAGAAAAAGAAAAATGATCTGAGAAATGTCCAAGAAGATCTAGCCTGCAAGAAAATGAAAATTGAGGATCTTTTAAAGAGCGTTACTGAAGCACAGAGATTCTCTGATACAGAGCTGATTGGGAAACTGGTGGAAGCTCTAGAGCTGCAGGTTCCTGGTGACACGTCCACACGGGAAGGTCAAGCTTCATTCTCAGTCTCTGATCTCATCCAGAAGGCAGAGGAAAAGAAGAATCAGCTGTCTCAAAAAATAGATGGTATTATTAAAATGTGCCAGGAGACTGACCCAACACTTTTCTTGCAAGATCATAAGGACGGTAAGTGCTAAGTAGACACTAAAGTAAACACTAAAGATGATTTTTGGGCAATATAAATATAACAAGATTTATTCAAATAATCCCCCCATAAAATACACTCACATTGGGTACAAAAATATCCAGCATTTGTTTAAAAGTACACCATAAGAGCATCCAGCCCTCTCAACAGCGTCTCACCAGCCTGCCTGCAATCAAGATGGCCAACCAACAATGCCAACCAACAATGCCATCTTGATTGCAGGCAGGCACTTATTTGGTGGTGGATTTAATGGTTTATGTATTTATTTATTCTACTTAAGGGTAGCGCTATTATTTGTGGTTATTTTATATGTTAATGTGTATAATTGTATCACAGTTTTTATTAATCTTTACAGTAGTTTAATAGTAGCAGCTCCCAAATTATGTGATTCAGCATAGGCGCGATATTGTGAATCTTGGGGTGTGGGAGATTATTCACCTAGACACCCGTCAAGACTCATTGTGCCTTTTTTATTTAATATAAATTGTATCCAGTAAGGGCAATGTCCAAAGGGTCCGGTACAGTATATTGGGGGGACCCCACATATTGGGTTCGGTATGAATCTGAGGAGGGCATGTCTTTTCTTTCCACACAATCTTTGTCGCTTAGTATACATTCTGTTGTCAGCCAGGAATCCCTAGCTGACATTTGAAAGGGCCCCTATGCCTGAATACATGCAGATGTCTGCACATGTACAATCTTTCTGGTGGTTTTGTGATGTTCCTGACACTTCAGCTTCCTACAGGGCAAATAAAAGTCACACTCTACCTGTAACAGGGTTCTACAATTATAATATAATATGAATATATATTTTCTAGTACGTTTTTTGAATATTTTGCTTTTTTTTTTTATTAAAATTACAGTTTGATCTTGCTGATGTGTTCTATAACCTTTTACAGAATTTATAAAGAATACTTTTTCTTCTCAAAAAAGCGACCGGTTGGAATGTGAGCTTTGTGGGAAGGTAATGCTTATACACGTTGTTTTATTTTATGTGTATCCTAGTATATTTTTGCATTCTGCTTTATGGTTTGAATGCCATCACAGCTCCACTAGGCTTTATGTAGTTAGACAATTGGTAGAGGAGATTTTCTCCCCAGACATCTGCAGTAATTTCCCTCCTGCTTTCTCTGGCATGACCACAGCTGACAATATATTTCCTACTGGCACTAGCGGTGAACATCAAAGTCTGACTCCACACTTTTTGTTATATAATGGGAAAGGGTTAGATCCTCTTATATTTTTATTGTGGCCTTTAATGGGAAGAGTTCCAGCACTTCATGGGCCCACAGGGTGTCATCCCAAAGGAGGCTGAGAGGACAACAAATACTTGAAAGAAAGGTATCAGGATTAGATCATATTTAAATTTTTATTTACTGGCTGTCTGTGTCTTTCTGTCTTGGTGACCCATGTGCTCTTCATTACAGAGGGTAGAACTTATCAGTGTGGACAGCAGCCACAAAAATATGACCCTTTCCCACTCTATCCAAAAGTAAAATAAGGTTTTAATATTTGGATGTGGTAGTAGTGAGTGGATGCGAAGTTCCGACACCCTAAATAGCAATGGAAACGTGTGTGCTTTTGCACACTAAGGAGAATTGAGGAAGGACAGTGCCAACCCATTGAGTCTTATTGGAAGGATAGTGCCAATAGGATAGACTTAATGGAAGGATAGTGCCAATCCATTGAGTCTTGTTGGAAGGATATTGCCAACCCATTGACTCTTATTGGAAGGACCTTGCCAACCCATTGAGTCTTGTTGGAAGGACCTTGCCAACCCATTGAGTCTTGTTGGAAGGACCTTGCCAACCCATTGAGTCTTGTTGGAAGGACCTTGCCAACCCATTGAGTCTTGTGGAAGGATAGTGCCAACCCACTGAGTCTTGTTGGAAGGACAGTTCCAACCCATTGAGTCTTTTTTTTTGAAGGATAGTGCCAATCCATTGAGTCTTGATGGAAGGACAGTGCCAACTCATTGAGACTTGTTGGAAGGACAGTGCCAACTCATTGAGTCTTGTTGGAAGGACAGTGCCAACTCATTGAGTCTTGTTGGAAGGACAGTGTCAACCCATTGAGTCTTGTTGAAAGGATAGTGCCAACCCATTGAGTCTTGTTGGAAGGACAGTGCCAACTCATTGAGTCTTGTTGGAAGGACAGTGTCAACCCATTGAGTCTTGTTGGAAGCATAGTGCCAACCCATTGAGTCTTGTTGGAAGGACAGTGCCAACTCATTGAGTCTTGTTGGAAGGACAGTGCCAACTCATTGAGTCTTGTTGGAAGGACAGTGCCAACTCATTGAGTCTTGTTGGAAGGACAGTGCCAACTCATTGAGTCTTGTTGGAAGGACAGTGCCAACTCATTGAGTCTTGAGTGAAGCTGAAGTTGTAAATCCATAAAGAGGAAATAAAAGGGCTGATGGTGGATTAGGGCTGAGCAAGGACTGGAGAATATTCTGCAGGGTTTGGGGGATTCCGTAGAGAATTCTATGATCTGTGCACTGGGAGATTTATCTCTTCAGAGTCTGTTTGGTCTATGTCAGGATCCATTGCCTTGCAAAACTGTTGTGACAGTGTGAAGCTCTGCACTATGGAAATGGCCAAGGAAAAGATACAGGGTTTGCATGTCTGCTGACTGCAGGAATACAGGGTATAGATTTTGAGTGGAGAAAACTGCTTTTGCAGCTTTCTCCATATCTTGGTAATTCTGGTTGGGGTTCTGTAGTTTGGAGATTCCAAAGAGTCTTGGGCAGGACAGAATCTCAAACCCAGTGTCCAAGTTGTTGAGAACAAACAGCAGGGTGTGTGCCCAGGTGCACACAGTCTGATGGACTGGTGAGAGCAGGAAGTGAGTGGAGGTACAAAGCAATAGCAGTTGGAGCTGTTTTTTAGGCAGAGCCCTGTCAGGAGAGGTGGGAGCCCCTGTTGGAGACTGCAGCCTGTGTGAGGGGGATTCTGGGCCTAAGGACTAGGAAAGTGGCCAGCTCCGAGAGTCTGGGAGACCAAGAAAGGGTCTGTAAGACTGAGGAAGTTGCGGAAATCATTGAGTCCAGGGAGGTTGGAGAGAATCCAGAAGTCTCTGGTGGGTGCAAGCTGGAGATATTGGGAAAACTCTGTCAAGAGGGGCAACAAGGGCCTGAGCAGCAGCAAGGTGCTGTCATCTAGGCTGAGAGAGAGCCTGAACAGCAAGTGGTATGGGAGACCAAAACAAACAGAGGAACTGCTGACTAGAGAGACAGTTGGCCCACTATTTTTCATTTGTGTTTGCTGACTGAAGTTGAAACCCCTGATTGGGAATCCTGGATTAACTTTTGTTTTGCTTTCTCCATTTTAATAAAAGTGGACTAACAGGCCCTTAACTATAGTGCCTGTGTGACATGGACTCACGTTACAAAAATTGCACCTACCACTGAGCTAAACATCCCCCATATCACACTATATAGAAATTTCTATCTTTATGATAATTGTCTTCTTTACTATAGGATGAGGATTCTGCTGTCCTAGTCTTTCCAGTTATAAAAGGAATGCTATTCAGGTAAGACTAAAGTTTTCTTACCTAAATTTTCAAATTTTATATAAGTGTTATCAGGAGGAAGAACTCGCAGCCTAAGGTGGGAACATATAGTGTTTTTTTTTTTACAATGTTTCTGGAGAAAATTATATTTAAGATATATTTTAATGCAATACTAAGAGGCCCAAAAACAACTCCACTGATACACAATCCATACCATACTGGCACAAACAGAAACACATCCACAGAGACATCAGTATCATACTTACACAGCCAGAAACATGTCCATGGAGAGCATCAGTATTACACACCTACAACCAAAACTGCGTCCCCAAAGGTCCAATCAGTACCATACTCCTACAACAAGAATCATGTTTGCATCCCATCTGCTGGAGAGGATGTGATCAACCAGGAAATTTACTGCACATTCTCTGGTCATGTACAAATATAGTTAGCTTCTGTTGGAAAATATTCCAGGTGATAACTGCGATAACAGGGACTTTACTGTCCCCCAATCCTGCTCTAGCTATCCTGAGTCTGGGTATTGAAATAGTGCCATCTCCCTTCCATGCGATTATTACTCATAGTCTCCTTGCTGCCGGACTCTTGATTGCTAGGCACTGGAAACAACAAATGGCCCCAAACTCATCTGAAGGCCTCACCTGAGTTAACTTTCATTTCTCTTATGAAAGAACAATTGCAATATGGAATGGTTCTGTTGCTAATTTTGATAGACTATGGAAACCTTAGTCTATATGGTTTAACAATTGATGCCAACGCCTTTGCATATCCTTGTTTTATTGAAATCCCTTTCTTATGGTCAATCATGACACACATGTTGTTGTTCTCCTTCGTAAGCGCCTTCCCAACCTTACCTTACCGCTTTGTTTCCAGCATTGGCGGTCTATGTAAATCCCTTCTAAAATTCAATAAAAATCTATTGGAAAAAAAAAAAGAATCATGTTTGCAGAGACACAACCAGTATTGTAGTAAAAAGCATAAACACATCCATGGAGACAAAGTCAGTGCCATACTTACTGGGCCCGAAACATGTCCAGAGACACAATTAGTACTGATGCAGCAGAACCATGTCCACATAGACAATCGGTGCCATACTCCTACAACCAGAACCATGTCCACATAGACAATCGGTGCCATACTCCTACAACCAGAACCATGTCCACATAGACAATCGGTGCCATACTCCTACAACCAGAACCGTGTCCACATAGACAATCGGTGCCATACTCCTACAACCAGAACCATGTCCACATAGACAATCGGTGCCATACTCCTACAACCAGAACCATGTCCACAGAGCCACAATCGGTGCCATACTCCTACAACCAGATGTCCACAGAGCCACAATCAGTGCCATACTCCTACAACCAGAACCATGTCCACAGAGCC